ATCAATACTAACATGAGAACAGGAAAAAGTCAGGTGAAATTGTAAAAAACAATAACCTAGTGTGATGTGTGTTGCAGGAGATGGATGGTGAATAGAGGATTGTGTGACATCCAGCCGATTGTTGCTCCCACTTAGGTTGGTAATATCGCAAAGAACTCTATTCAAAGCATTTTTAAGTGTGACAGAACCAGTAGGTGTAGCCAATGTAGATGTTGTTGGTTGAGTATGATTAGTTGGAGGTTGTGTAAGTCTCGTTCTTTTAGCAGATTTGTGCTGAGACTCATCACTTGGTTTATTGTTTTTCTTATTTTCCTTCATCGTTGAGGTGGTCAGAAAGTTGCTCTCTAGAACATGTTATTTTAGTAGCAGGTCGTAATGACTATAGATTTGCAGTAGTTAATTTCTCCTTGATTTTAGATAGCAGAGACAATATTCTTCTTTGTTTTCTTTAAAATATCCATATAATTATATAACAAAGTGCTGGTTTTAAGGGATTCTCAGGCAATACAAATCAAAATAATATATCTTATATAAATGCTTACGGGATTTTGCTTTCAATTAGTATGCAGGAATGTTGTTATGTGGTGGTTGTGTCTAGCAGCATACGATGCTAGTGTTTGAAGGTATTGTCTGTTTGGCAAAGTTAATATGGAATCTGTTTGTCAAATTACATGCTTACTACTTTGTGCCTTTTAAAATCATGAAATCCATAAGTTCTGCATTTTTTAAAATATGAGGAAAGAAGCAGAAAACACGTACCTAGAGTGAGCTGATTTAAATTAATGTTGCATATGTAATTTAGTATTTTTCTCTTTAAATTTCAGATTCGAAGAAGAAGGATTACAATGCCGTGGACGAGACAGACATCGAGTAAAAAGGTAAAAATCATGGTTTCCTTTAATGTTTAAATATCTTTTTTTGGGTGATTATACATTTAGACACGTTAACCACTTTCAAAATATAAGAAGTGCTTAGAAGCTTAATACATCTCTAGTAATATATTATTGAAGTCAACAGAAAATAAGAATATGGAAACTTTATTAATAAACTTGAACATAAAATAGGAGTGTAGCTAAACTACACTTATTCAAACAAAGGAAATGAAAATGAGTTTGAAAGTTTAAAAAACAGATTGAAATAACCAAGGAAGGCTTTATTTGAAGCATACAATATTGACTGCAGGACCCTTACTTCTTCTCAATCTTGACCTTCACTCCAACCATAGCTCTTGGTCCAGCATTGTCTGCTTTGTCAATAGTGGTTCCGATTGTTTCGCCCACATTTTTACCAAGGTCCGCTTTTGTCTCAATCACACCTTCAGTCTTTGATTCAACACTGCTCTTGTTCAGTTCTGCTTCATTTTTAAAATCAGGATTTACCTTTTCCAAGTCTATTGGTTCAATACACGACTTCTTAGAAGTAGATGCTTGGTCCACAGGTCCGTCCTTAGAACCATAAACACGCTTAGAAGAAGGAGTCATAGAATCTGGTGTTCCTTGAGTATTTTCCAACATGAGAATGCCCTACGAATTTCATAATTAGTATAAATAGAATGTATAACTAAACATTGGTTATTTTAATAAATTAACATTGAAGATATAGTTGTTGTAGTGAATAGTTATATGAATATAACCTTGTCTGCAGATTCAATGGAAGTTTCTCTGGACATTTCTGTAGAATAC